GCTGAGAGAGGGACAGGACAGAGCCAGGATTGGGGGGCTGAGAGAGGACAGAGCCAGGACTGGGGGGCTGAGAGAGGGAGCAGGACAGAGCCAGGAATGGGGGGCTCAGAGAGGGACAGGACAGAGCCACGCTCTGCTGCTCCAGAGCAAGGGCCAGCAGAGGCTCAGGGTGTTCCTGACACTGGTGCTGGTGGCCCCGAGGGTTCCTGGTGCTCGTTCAGGCTGTGAAATTAAGGCACTGTCCGCACCCACTGCCCCTCGGGGAATTTGGGGCTCAGCCCAGCCCCTCCTGGCCCCTGCACAAGGAGCCTGATTCTCCCAAAAGCTGAGCTCAATTCTCCCAAAAGCTGGGCTCAATTCTCCCAAAAGCTGAGCTCAACTCTGGTGTTCCTGCAGTAATGAAGGGATGCAGGGGGTCAGACAGGACCCACACCCCGCTGCTGCTGCCCCCATCCTGACCCACTCTGGCTGCCCACGCTCTTCCCTTCCCCTGGGCTTTGGCACAGCATCGTGGGAGCTGGGACAACGCTGGTGCCAGACATCGCCAGTTAATCCCGGCTCTGAATTTGGCACAAAGCCAGCTCCACCAAGCGGGGCTGGGGGCTGCTGCTGCTGCTGCCCAGCTGAGCTCTGCACACCCTGAAAGCAGAGATTTCCTTGAGCCCYGCAGGGCGAGACAGCAGGTGCAGGGCTGTTGATGTCATGGGGACTTGCAGAGGGTATTTATGGCCCGGGCTGCTGCACAGAGCAAATCCTGCTCCCTGTCCTTGCGGGCAAACCGAGAGGAAGAGGCTCAGAGCCTTTTGCAAAGGGCTGGCAGTGCTGGCAGTGCCTCTGAGCCAGAAATTCTGTTTAAACTGTGAGCTCTCAGAGTCAAAGCAGCTCTTGCCCTTCAACAGTTGCTAGGCTGAGCCCATTCCTGTGATTTGGGTTCATGGGAGAGGCAGGAATTAAAATCAGTGTGTGAATTATTAGAAGAGCTGCAGGAAATGGGGTTGGTGCAGGGGCTGGGGCAGACAGGGGTGTTCTGCACCCCATGGAGGCTGTGACCATGCCCAGGTTATTCTGGGGTCACAGTGTGGGGATCTTCTCTCCAGAAAAGCATTTTCTGCGCTGGACAGAGGATGAGGAGCGTTGGTGGAGGGCTCCATCCTTCCTTYYMATTCACCCYGAGAGCAGTGAGGCTCCTGRGCTGCAGGGCCACCCCAGCWGAGCCCTTCCCTGCCCCATCTCCAGGGCTCTCTGGGCTCYGGGGAACAACAGCCCCTTGTCACCATCACCACGAGCCAAAGATAGGAGCAGCATTGATCCCCTGGCATCCCGAGCAGCCGTGGGCAGCGGCCAAGGCCGGCACCGTGCCCATAAACAGCACGTGGGCAGCGGGGCGGGCACCGGGCACTCGGGGCTCCTTGCTGCCCCATTGGACTCCTTCCCTTCCTCTCCCCTTCCCCCTCCTCCTCAGCAGCGAGCTCAAATCCCTCAGACAGCAAGCTGGGCACCGCCGAAGGGCCCAGCCCAGGAGTGGGACAATAAAATCCCTGACACCACTGTTCAAGAGGCCTCGGGGGGGTGGAAGGCCAGGCCAGCTGCGCGGGTATAAAGCTGTCCCACGCCGCCGCCACCGCACTGCGGCTCCGTCGTTTGCCAGGCTCCTCCAGCGCTCTCCAATGGATATCACCATCCACAACCCCCTGATCCGCAGACCCTTCTTCTCCTGGTTGGCACCGAGCCGTATCTTTGACCAGATTTTCGGGGAGCACCTGCCCGAGTCAGAGCTGCTCCCCGTGTCCCCCAGCTTCAGCCCCTTCCTGATGCGCTCCCCCATCCTGCGGATGCCCAGTTGGCTAGAGACAGGACTCTCGGAGGTAACATTTGCTTCTCGGGGCTCTTTGTGGCTGCTGGGGGCACAGCCTGGTGGCCCTGGAGGCCCAGGAGAGCAGAGAGCTTTGGAAGCTGCTTGCAGGTGTTTTTTCGGGTTTTTTTTTTCAGGAAAAAGGTTGGGGAAAAGGGCGCTGTGCTTGTGCCTCTGCATGGTTTGGGATGAGGCAAGCCTTGCTCTAGTGATGGGAACGGAGCTCAGTGAGCAGGGCAGATGACCCCAGGAGCTGGCAGAAGAAAGGAGGAGTTTAATTTCCCAAATTTCCCAAAATKSCCTAATTTYCSTSATTTCCCAGTCTGCTGTGYCAAACTTTCAGCCCCATCCCACCCGAGAAGCAAAGGGCACAGGGGCACTGAGATGCTCCTGTCAGGCAGCGCAGGCTGCTGAGGGAAAAGGGGCCTATTTTAAACAATCTGCCCAGAAAAGCAGAGTTTTAACAAGATCCAGGACCCAGAGAACCACGGAGCAGGCGCCTCCTTGCTCCAGAGACTGAGCCAAGAGGATTTTGCCTGTCCTGCAAGTCAACTGTCTTATTTACAAGGAGCTCGTGGAGCTATTCCAAGCAGAAGGAGTGAAAGCATTATTGTAATCCTTGCATAATGCTCCCCTCGGTTTGGTGACCTGGGTCTGGCTGCCCATCAAAGCAGCCAAAATAAAGACTTTTATTTTTTTAATATTATTTTATTTTTATATATTATTGTATATTAAAAAAATCCCTCCGTTTTAACTAAACAATCAGTTTTAAAAAGTCAATTTTAACTAAAGAACCAGTTTTAAATAGTCAGTTTAAAATAGTCAGTTTTAACTAAAGAGCCAGTTTTAAATAGTCAGTTTAAAATAGTCAGTTTTAACTAAAGAGTCAGTTTTAACTAAACAATCAGTTTTAAATAGTCAGTTTTAACTAAAGAGTCAGTTTTAAATAGTTTTAACTAAAGAATCACTTTCAAATAGTCAGTTTGAACTGAAGTTTTTAAACTTAAGTTCAGTTTTTTAACTGAAGTTTCTTTAGTTTCMACTAAAGAACCAGTTTTAACTAAGGAACCAGTTTTAACAAATCCAGATTGAGGATCTCAGGCTCTGCAGTGATGGGCATTAATGCAAGGCCAGCGAGGCACAGAGCCACTCAGACCAGATCCCAAATAAAGCTCAGTCTGTGCKTGTARGGTCCAGCTTTAGGCTTGCCCTGCYKCATTCTGAGAGCCTTTCYCACCCCTTTTTYCCTGAATTCACCTCCTYGTTTCTGCAGATGCGACTGGATAAGGACAAATTTTACGTGAACCTGGACGTGAAGCATTTCTCCCCCGAGGAGCTGAAGGTGAAGGTKCTCGGGGACATGATCGAGATCCACGGGAAGCACGAGGAGCGCCAGGTACCTCCTCTTTGATTTTTTCACCTCTGGGAACTGCAGAACAATCCTGTGCTCACCTCAAATATTTGTGATTTTTTTTAATCAAGATGCTCTGTGAAATCCCCCCCCAAGAGGATCCCAATTGGGGCAGTGAGAGGGTGGGTGGAGGTTTATTGCTGATGTGGCGTGAACTGGGAGCTGAACTGGAAAACCAGCATGAAATGGGCATTTTTGGGCTTCCCTTCTTTCTGGGGAGAGGCCAGGAATGCAGGAAGGTGTCCAGCGAGCTAAAAATGAGCTGTAAAAATTGAGCCACGCAATGAATCGGCGCAGTGCCTTCTGTGTTACCTTTCCTAGGCCCAACCATCAATCTTTAATCATTAAAAGCTGTGTTTTGCTGTCACTCACAGCTCTCTGTGCGGACACTGGGCAGCAGRAACCCAAAGCCATGCCCAGAGCTGGATTGAACAGCCTTTCCCAGTCTCCATCCCCTGTCCCCACCTCCCTGCAGAGGGATAAAGCAGCTCCACCCCTGGAATTGCCATCCCCAGGAGTTTCTGGAGGTGCCAGCCAGGGAATCTTCAGCGGGTGGGAGCCTGCAATCCTGGCCAAAACGCTGGGATATTTTTTTGGTTTTTGGCCAAGAACATAAGCAAGCACTGAGATTGAGCAGTGAGGGTCTCCAGGGATCCTCCAGGGAGCTCTGGTGCTGCTCCATCTCAGAAATGCCATCCCAGACAGCTCAGGGAAGCCTCTGCCTGGCAAAGGGTGGGACACAAAGCTCCTYCTGTAAATATCGAGTGTGCACCCAAGCAGGGCTGTCTCACTTTGGCTTTTAAAGAAAACAGCTCRTCTCCAAACCCTTTTACCTCCCTGAAAACCTTTCCTTTCAAAGCCACCCCTCCCCAGCCTCAGCCTTTGAGCTGGAGGAGGTTGAGATGGAACCGGGTGAATATTTCTCATTAAAATCCGCTTCTCCCATCCCTCCCGAATTGAAGGACGAGCACGGCTTCATCGCCAGGGAGTTCAACAGGAAATACCGGATTCCYGACGACGTGGACCCGCTGACCATCACATCATCACTCTCCCTGGACGGGGTGCTGACCGTCAGCGCTCCCCGAAAACAGAGCGACGTCCCCGAGCGCACCATCCCCATCACCCGCGAGGACAAACCGGCCATCGCAGGGGCCCAGAGGAAATAGAGGCAGCTCTGCAGCTCCAGAGTCACCCTGGAGAGCCATTCCTGAGCCCTCTCCTCCACCAGATGCCGGCTGTGCTGAATGGCTGCTCCTGTTATTTATGCTGAGTAAGTTTACTAACGAATAAACCATGGAGAAGCAGTTTGGATTGATTTGTTTCGGGGCGCTGAGGGCGAGGGAGAGGTTGAGTTGAGAAAGGTGGATAAAAGGCGCAGGGGAATATCATTTTTGGGTGTCAGGTGTGTCCAGGAGTGCTTTTCCAGAAGCACTTTGCTCATCACACCTTGTGTTCTCTCTCCCTCCAACGCTGCCAGAGGATTTCAGAGCGTTTCACAAGCGAGAGGGGAGTTTCTCCCGTGGAGATTAAACTGGTAAAACAGCTCCATGGCAATTGAAACCCATTTGAAATGTATTTGATAACAGCTGGCTGGAAGAAAGCTGTATCTTAAATCTCTATAATGACTCAGGTAATGGAGAAGCACCCGGCTGGGCTGCAGTAAACACAAATCTGCCCAAAGAGAAGAGAAACATCCTGCCCTGGTGATGCAAATCACCGCCCTTTGAAAGCCTGGTGTTAGTGCTCTTCAGACAGGGAGCAGGGTCTGATGTCTGCAGCAATAATCTGATTTTTGCCAGCGCTGCTGAGTGGTACAAACCACTACTAAAGTCCTTTCCCAGCAKCTTCATCTGCTTAGCACCTCTCTTCAAAGGGGTACAAAGGGAAATCTGGATTGCTGGAATTGAGTTTGTGAAATTCATCTTCAAAAAGGCCACAGATCTGTCRCACACATCGCCAGACTCAGTCATGACCTGACCTATTTTCTATGYTCCTTATCCCTGCTAAGACAAAAGTTTTATTAGAAAGGATCTCATTACCCCTCAGATGAGCAGGGAGGACCTTCTTCTTCTGTGGCTGTAGGTGAGAAAAATCAAATGAGCGCTCTGTGATGTGGGGTCACTGTCAAACACCCCCAATCCCACCTCATTTCCAAGGTGTGCTGCTTCCTCTTAGCTGGTTCTAATGAGCTGAGGTGTTAATTGGGCYTGTCTGGCCAGGCACAGCCACCTCTGCACTCCAGAGAAAACCACAGACACACACAGAGCTTACAAACAACRCAGATTAAAAAGCAGCAAGAACATTTTCCACACGGCTTTCATGTGTGACGGRTCTTTGTGCTGGAAGGAAATCGCTGTACCAAGAGTTCCTGAAGGTTTCTGTTGCTTTTCCTGCATCCTTCTTTTCTTTCTCCATTTGGAAACCCGGAGAGCAGCAGGGCTGAACAGCTGAACTGCACAAAGGAGCTYCCAGCTCTGAGTGGTGGCCTGAAAATCAATGAAGTTTTTGTTCAAATCCTAAAAGAATCAATGTTAAAATGAAGCAAACGTGAAATGTTAAGAATATATCCAGAAAGGCCAACTGAGGGAAATATTTTCCAAAGCCCGGGGTTTTGTTAGGCTCAAATCAGCAGCAAGAAATGGGCATTTTGAGTGAAAGCTCAAACTGGATGAGGTCAGCCAGTCGAGAATACTTGAAATGCAAAACCACTCCCTGAGTGACCTGAAATACCTGTTCTGGGGTGGCCCAGGAGCACAGCCCAACACGCAGAGAATGACAGAAAACATCCCTGTCATCTCCAGGCACAAACACCTCCGAGAAGCTCCTCACATCCAACACTTCTGCACACGTCAAATCCACTCTCTGATGTTTCCCTTGTAATTTGGAGCAGGCTGATTCAAAGCAGTGCGTGTGTTGAAAAGGAAAACTCGCCTTTRCCATGGCTAGATATAAGTTTAGAGGGTTTTTTTAATTATTGGGATGGGAAGGTCATGTGGTAACTCTTTTCCTGCATGTGTCAGTACCCAACACTTCTCCAGGACACCTCCCCGCCCTTTAAAATAGATAAAATTATTCCCCCAAGGCCACAGGGACCCTGRGAGCTCTCCTTTGCCCATTCCAAACATCCCTCTGTCATTACCCGTGTGGAACTCTGTCCCTGCCCTGTGGAGCACCTGTGGGAGCACAAACAGAGCAGGAGACACCCAAGCMTGGCTGTCGTGCACATTTTATCCCATAATTTCCTTTCTTCTCAAAGGCATGTGCATAAACACCTCTGTGAGGCAGGGTAATTAATTTACCTTGTATCACCCTGTTGAGAAATTAGGGACCTTCTTATTACACCTTGATTACRTCTGCAATTATCTGACACCAAACGATGCTTCCACCACCTTCCCACCGCTTCCCATCTCTTTTTCTTCTCTGTCTGGCTCTCCTCCCCTCCTTTGGGAATTAAAGCAGCACAAATATTGCAAAGTGCCCCAATTGCAGGGGCAGGTACGAGTTCAGAGGAGGCCTCCAAGTTGATTATAGGGCTGGAACTCCTGTGCTATAGGAAAAGCTGAGAGAATCGGGATTGTTGGAAAAGAGAAGGTTTTGAGGTGACCTATTCTGGGTTTTTGAGCCTGGAAAAAGAAGGTTTTGAGGTGACCTATTGTGGGTTTTGAGCCTGGAAAAGAGAAGATTTTGAAGTGATCTATTGTGGGTTTTGAGCCTGGAAAAGAGAAGGTTTTGAAGTGACCTATTCTGGGTTTTTGAGCCTGGAAAAGAGAGGGTTTTAAGGTGACCTATTGTGGGTTTTGAGCCTGGAAAGGAGAAGGACCTATTGTATTTTTCCAGGAGAGATGGAAAGAAACCATTGCTTTAAGGACCCTCCTAACCCAAACCATTCCGCGATTCTGCGATTCTACCATTCCTCCGCCTTTTTTTTTTTTTTTTTTTTTTTTTTTTTTAATTTTAAATAACGTAACACCCATTTCCTGTTGCGCTGGCCGGTAAAGCGCCCCCAATCCCCGCTCCCGAACCCCTCCCGTTCCCGGCGATGCTGCCGCTCATCCTCCACCGGGTCACCGCCGCCTCCCCGCACCCGGGGCCGGGCAAGCGGCTACCGAGGAGTGCCCGGGGATGCCCGCGGCCACCCGACGCCACCAGCAGTGGCCACTGACCGGGTCCCACGTCATGAGCGAGCGCCGGTGGCTCCGAGCGCCGGTGGCGGTGCCGGGACCATGGGACCGCMGCTCCGCCGCGTCCTGCTGCTCGGAGAGGGCAACTTCTCGTTCGCCGCGTCCCTGTGCGGGRCTCCGGGCACGCAGGTGGTGGCCACTTGCTACGAGAGCGAGGAGGAGGTGGCTGAACGCGGGGGAGCGGAGCGGAGCATCCGCCGGCTGCGGGACAGCGGTGGGTGCGCGCCCCGGGAGCGCGGGGACAGCG